ACTTGCACTGTAGTTTTAAATTCAAATTTCAACATTTAAATTAAGGTTTACACCTCGTGCTGCCTTTTAATCACATGTCAGGTGGATAAAGCGAAATTGCACCCAGAAAGCACACGTATTATATAGCATGGCTGCATGTTTAACAACCACTGACACGACTACGGCAAAACAACTTTCTACCCTACATATTTTCAGCTAAGCGACCTGCTAGCCATTTTTCAGCTCGTTTACCTCCAGTGAGGTAGATTCGTTACTCAAGAGAAGTAGCATTCAATGAAAGAAAATTTCCGCCAGGAGTTGCGTTTGGACCTGGTACCTCTAAGGTGCAAACTAATTACCAATCCAATGCAATGCCACTGCCTACCCCCCTGATTTGACCACGCAGATTAAGGAAATGTGTTTTCTTTAGATCTAAAAAAGTTCACCGACAACAATTCACCGACCGTAAAATTCACCGACCAGCCATTCGTCGAACGGAAAATTCACCAATTCTACAATTAATCGCCGATGTTTATTTATTAAAAACCGTGAAACGTAAAAAACAATTTATTTCATACCATAAAGTATTGTCACTATTTCTATAAAATTGAAATCTGCTGATTTTATATTAATTTGCCTGAAAATGAAAATGATGTATGTATCTCTAAATTTCGAATAAAACAGATTTCATTGGAATAATTTAACTTTGAAAAAACTTCTGAAAGATTATTTACACGTAATACCTAATTAGTAATTTATATTATGTGCCACACCCTCTCAAAAACTCTAAAACATTACTGCTGTCATAATTGGCAAGTACACTCACCGCAATCCTTATATTTCTTAAGCGCAGGGCTACCCTGATGGCTACTCACATAATGTTCAATTTGCAATGTTCTGATGCTTTGCTTACGCTGAATCGCTTCAATAAACCTCCAGATATTCGGGTGTTGTGCAGATAAGTGCATTTCGAATCCACGATACCACTCTTCAATTGCATTATTTGTCTTCGGAAGACGGTGTCTCACTCCTTCGTGACAGTTCCACATTTCCAGAGAGAAGCGGGGCATTCGGTGTCTCATGCGTCAATGAGGACGTCCAATCCAGCAGTCCTCGAAGTAATCAATCACGTCTCGTGCTTCTCCAGATGTGTTTTCACCGCTACCGTTAAGATACTAAAATGCGTCTACCACATCTTCTGTTTAGAAAAGACCAACGCAGACAACAGTCGCATTCTCATTGCAAATTTTACGTCAGTTTCGAACCTTCTTAGAAGATTCTCTTCCTGAATCCTTCTCAATATACACTGTGAGAAGTGGAAAAAACATTCTCGATGTCTAGCCCTTGGAAATTCTTGACGAATAGCACTGACTTCGGCAGGTTCGAAATCGGCCACAACTGTTTCAGGGAAGACATCAGGTTGAACCTGTTGCAATAACCCCTACCCGCGATCCGAATATAAAGATAAAATATGGTAATTATTATGCTCATTAACTGATCTTTCAAATATGCCATTTCAAAATAAATGCATTAGATAAAATGTATTTTTCTGTGAGTAGGTAGTATTATGGTAATTATTCAGCTCATTAACATAATCTTTCAAATATGTTATTTTCAAATAATACTGGGTTATGATCATCATAAATAAATTATCGGCGATCGATTGTAAAATCGGTGAATTTTCCGTTCGACGAATTGCTGTTCGTGAATTTTCCAGTCGGTGAACTTTCCGTCGGTGAACTTTCTGGATACCGTTTCCTTTTCATTCCTTTGTATGTTTTCAGAAATACTGTTTGTATCTTGCACTAAATCGCGACGCGAAAGAAGAAACGGTCAAGGAAGATGAAGATCAATAATTGTCATTGTCATCTTGGATATATCATAAAGAAAGATTTAATTGTAGTAAGCGAAAGGTAGTCCCCAATTATTCTCTCTGAGATAAGCATGAGAAACGTTATAATTCAGATCTTATCTTAATATGGGTTTAGGTCTCGTTCTGTGCAACTTTCACATTCACTTCAATAACTTATATCAAATACAAGCGAAAGTTCAAGTTTAGTAAAGCCAGAACTTCAAACTAATGAACAACTGCAGCATCTATGCTAACATTAGTAAAGGAACAAATAGAAAGCATTTTACAAACGAAAAATTTGTTAGCCCAAATGAAAACCAGTGATTTAAAATTTTTGCAAGATGAATAAATAATTGTGAAAATTAATATCCTCGATTAAAAACTTGATCAACACGTACTTGTAGCAAATCAAACGCCTCTTCCTCCACGTTTTTCACTGAATCTGCCAATCTTATTTCCTTCCAAATCGGAAAGGTTGCTTTGTAATCCGGAAAAGTCGTAACGCCCTTCCACACATCCTCCGTAGGTGTTGACAAGATGCTAAAAACATGATGTTGTCATGTTCGTTTGACAGCGGCGAATTTATTGCTCTCGCGGAAATGATTTGCTCAGCGAGCGGTTTCCCTT